CCCCCCCCCCGAATTACTCACCCCGTGTCGGCATGCCGATCCAGTTGAGGTAGCGGGTGAGCTTGCGGGAGATGTAGGTCTTGCCACGGGCTGGCAGCCCCACCAGGATCACCATGGTGGGGCAGTTGGTGAATTGGGGTACAGTTGCTTTTGGGGGGGGGGACACAGGATTTAAGGAGATTTGCAGCGCCAGAGCAGTACAACCCCCCCAAATCCCCCCTCTTTAAACTCTGATCCATGCCATTTGGGGGGGGGGGGGGGGGAGGATTTAACAAGATTTAGGAGGTCTGCAGCGGCGCAGCACCCCAACTCCCCCCACAAAACCCTTCACTCCCTTTCCCCCCCCCTCCCCAGCTCCCCAAACTCACATCCTCGCCTCCGCAGGCGATGCAGGCTAAGGGGAACCCACACTTTTTGCAGGGGGTTCTGAGTCAGCTGTCCCGATGCCGCCGCCGCCATGGCTCTGCCCTCTGTCCCCACTACGGTCAGTGTCCCCGGAGCTACGGGTCACCCCCCCCCCCCCCTCTTCTCCCCCCCCCTTATTCAAACACAACCCTCCTTTCCCTCCTCCCGCCCCCCACCTTTGTCCCATACCCGGGATTTTGGCTGATTTCTCTGATTTCTCCTCCATGGTGCTGCTGGGGGGGTTGGCGTGGCGGTGCCCCCCCCCCCGGAGTAAGGTCAGAGGTAACGCTATACCCTGGCTGCCTGCCGGGACAGGGACAGCAGCTGGGATGAGGCGTGGGGGGGCCCTGTCTATTCCCCCCCCCCGCCTTCTTCCCCCCAGCTCCCCCTGCTTCCCATCAGCAGTGCCAGCGCTGCACCCATCCACGGGGATGCTGACCCTGCCCTTATTCAACGTTTTTTTGGGGGGTCCTGGTTCTAGCCCTTGTTTATTGGGGGGGGGGTGAACCCCCTCCTTTATTGGGGGGGAAGGGGGAGATTATTTCAGCCCCTCTGCTGGTCCTGGCCACTGTTGTGTCCCCATCTTGAGGGGTCCTGAGCCTTATCTTTGTGGGGTCCCCATCCCCAACCTGGGGGAGATCCCCGTTCTTGGGGAGGGGACCTCATCTCTTGGGTGAGGGAGGAGGAGGGGGGTCCCATTTTGGGGAGGAATGATACCCGTACTTGAGGGGTGATTCCCGTTCTTGGGGAGTTCCAACCCATGTGGGATGAAGTGTCCCCATTTTTTTTAGGGGGGGTCCCAATCCATCGAGAGGGATCCCCATTTGGGGGGGGGGATCCCCATTCTTGGACGGGGGTCCCTTTCCATGAGGGTGTCTCGATCCCTAGGGGTCCTGCACCCCAGGTCCCCTGTCCCCGTTGGGGGTCCCAAGGTCCGCCTCGGGGGTTCCTCATACCTCCGGGGGTCCCCTGTCCCCTATAGGGGGTAGGGGGTCTCCATTCCCATAGGGTTTCCAAGTTCCCACTCCGCTGCACATCCCTACGGCAGCTCCTCCCACCCCCACAGGGGGGTCCCGACCCCATCCTCTGGAATCGCTCGGCTCCATTCGGATTCTCTCGGCTCTATTCGGGTTCCCTTTGCTCTACTCGGCAATTCTCGGCACCATTCGGATCCTCTCGGCTCCGCCTACAGCCGCTGGGCTCCGTTCGGGTCCTCTCGGCTCCGTTCGGGTCTTCCCGACTCTCCAGCCACTATTCAGCCCCTCCCACCGCCCCTCAGCTCCACCAATCACCACTCTCGTCCTCTCGGCTCCACCCACCGCCCCTCAGCTCCACCAGTCACTGTTCCCCTCCTCTCGGCTCCACCAATCAGTGCTCTCCTCCGCTCGGCTCCTCCCGCCACCCTTCGGCTCCTTTCGCCGCCGCCCCCCATCACCATTGGCCCCAGCATGGCAGCCCTGCGCAGCGTCAAGGTGCCGGGGAGCTCCGGACCCCGCGATGGGGTGGGACGCGAGCTCGCTCCCCGACACCCCATTAACCCCATCCCACTTTCCAGGGAATGGTGGCTCTGGTCACCGGCGGAGCCTCAGGGCTGGGCCGGGCCACGGCGGAGCGTTTGGTGGAGCGAGGAGCCCGCGTTGTTCTCCTTGACCTGCCCAGCTCGCAGGGAGCACAGCTGGCAGCAGAGCTGGGTGAACGTTGCGCCTTTGCCCCCGCTAACGTGAGCACCAGGATTGGGTGTCAATGAGACGCAAAGCAGGGACAAGGGGACACCCCAAGATGGGGACGGGGCGTCTGGAGGGGTGGAAATTGGGGCGTGGGTTTGGGGCAGCTGGGCTCAGAGGGGAGAATTGGGGGCCTGGAGGGGATCTGAGGGGGTTCTGCTCCCCGTCCACGCAGGTGACATCGGCTGAGGAGGTGGAGGCTGCCCTGGAATTGGCCAAGAAGACTTTTGGGAAGTTGGAGCTGGCGGTGAACTGCGCTGGGGTGGGAATCGCTGTCAAGACCTACAATGCCAAGAAGGACAAAGTGCATGAGCTGGAGGATTTCCAGCGGGTCGTTAATGTGAGTGTCTGACCGGGGTCAGCGGGGAGGGGGGCAAGATTGTCACGGGGTGGCCAGCAGGTTGGTCTTGGTCAGCGGGATGAGCTTGGTCAGGTTGTGGGGTCTCTTGGTCAGTGGGGGTGGTCGTGGTTAATGGGGTGGTTGTGGGGTGATGTTGGTCAAGGGGGGTGGTCTTTGTCTGTGGGGCTGTCTTGGGGTCGTTTTGGTAATGACGTAGGCATAGGGTGGCCTCAGTTAATGGGGCGGGCACGGGGTTGTCTTGGTGGTTGTGTGGTCCTGGGGTGGCCTTGGGCAGTGGGTTTGGTTCTAGGGTGGTCGTGAGGGGTCTCTGGTCAGCGGGGTGCATGTCCTTGACCAATGGGGTGCTTGTGGGGTAGGGGTCACATGCATGCCTCCCTTTGTTGCCCTTTGTCCCACAGATTAACCTGGTTGGGACCTTCAATGTTATCCGCCTCAGCGCTCGCCTGATGAGCCAAAACGCCCCCGACCCCGACGGCCACCGGGGCCTGGTGGTGAACACGGCCAGCGTGGCAGCCTTTGAGGGGCAGGTGAGCTGGGCTGGAAAGCTCTGGGGCATAGGGGAGACACCAGAGGGATGAGGAGAGCCCCCCCATAACGCTCCTCACCCCCAACAGGTGGGCCAGGCGGCCTACTCAGCCTCTAAGGGGGGCATCGTGGGCATGACGCTGCCCATTGCCCGCGACCTGGCACCGCTGGGGATCCGCGTGGTCACCATCGCCCCAGGTAGGGGAGGGAGAGCTTTGAGGGATGGGGAAGGATGAGGGATTTTACGTGTTTTACACCCCCTATTTTATTGTATTTTTTTGCGTCCCCTCCCCCTTCCCCCTCAGGGCTTTTCTCCACCCCTCTGATGGACGGGCTGCCCGAGAAGGTGCGGAAGTTTTTGGGGCAGCAGGTTCCCTTCCCATCTCGGCTGGGGAACCCTGCCGAATACGCACACCTGGTGCAAGCCTTGGCTGAGAACCCCATGATCAACGGGGAGGTGGTGAGGCTGGACGGGGCTCTCCGGATGCAGCCCTAAATGGGGGGGGCACGGCGTGGGGGTGTCCATGATGACGGGACGTGAAGCAGGGACACCCCAGAATGGGGGCACTGTGGGGACACAGATCTACCCTTCTTGATGAGGAACACGTGGGGACCCGCACCAGGATTGTCTGCGTCTGGGGACCTCAAGGGGACCTGGTCCGAGGTCACCTGGGTCTGGGGACCCAATGGGGCCCATCCACGGCTGGGGACCGACCTTGTGGGCAACCTCTTTTGGGGACCCACCTGGCGCTCAGTCCAGGCTCACCTCCGTTTAAGGACCCCGAGGGACCCGGTCCACGGCCACCCAGGTCTATGCTGTGGATTAGGACCGCTGGAGGCTGGGGATCCCATGGGGACCCAGTCCAGTGGCACCCGGACTTGAGGCCCCCATGGGGACCCGGCCAACCCCCCCCCCAAGGTTTGGGGACACGACCGGGCCGCCCCACGCTGCTACCTCCCGCAATAAAAGCTGTGCACTCTGCTCGGCTCCGCCTCCTCTCGCTTCCCATTGGCTCGCGCGGCTGTCAATTCGCTGCGCCGCGAGGAGCGATTGAGTGGGAGTGTCGGTGGGAACGCCCTATTGCGAATTCGCGGCTGTGATTGGCTGTTGCCTGGCGCGCTCTCGATTCGAGTGAACGATCTCAGCTGGATTTGATCGTTCCTGCTGATTGGCTGAGAATAGCAGCGACGAGGGCGTAGTCGTCCACTCATCTTGCTCACTGATTGGCTGGTTCGCCTGCCCATAAAGCGCGGGGCAGGTGGGTAAAGCGAATGGCTATTCAGTTGTGGGCGGGGCCTCTCGGCAATTTTAGCTCTGATTGGCTGTGGCTTGTCCTTCCGCCGGAAGCGGCTCTTAAGGAGAGGGAGAGCGACGGCAAGGCCGGAGCCGGCCGAGCTCCCGGTTCCTCGGCAGCCATGAACATCCGGAATGCGCGGGTGGGCGGCCGGGAGAAGGGGTCCGGGTATTCGGGAATAGGATGGGGAACCGCGGGGAGGGGAATGGGGGAGAATCCGAGGCCTGAAGGGAGGAGAAATGGGGCCTGGAGAGGGGATCCAGGCATATTGGGGTCTGTGGGGGGGGATCTGGGG